ACACACACACACACACACACACAAACAAGCGGGAGGGTTTTGTCGGAGTGTTTTGTCCCGTATCATGGATCTCCCTCCCCATCCCCCAACATTCCTTCCGTCCTCTCTCCCCTCTCTCTTTTCGTGTGTGTGTTTGCTTTCCCACTTCGTAGACAGCAGAACACGGTTCTGGCTGCTATCGGGTTCCCCCGTGGGACTATAATTCGGATTAGTGCTAGGTAGGGCGCGTGAGGTGAAATTGAGAGAAGAAACAAAAACAAAAAAAAAAAACAAAAAAAAAAAAAGAGAGGTGGTGCCACTCTCTTCACCCGAATAGAACGCCCGGTCATTATAGCTGTAGCCCGTGTAGCTTTCAGTCTACATTCAGTCATTATTACTGGGCGTTCTATTCGGGTGAAGACGGGAGCTTAGCCTCGATCTCTCACGTAAAGTCCCATGGATATCAAATCCCACACGTGTTTTTTCTCCGTGTGTTTTGTTTTCTCAAACGTCTTTTTAGCTTTTTTTTAACCTCAAAGCAGCACTTTCCTATGTGTATCTGACGCAATCACGTCCAGAGCATAGTAAACAAAAGTCCTACTGTGCATTTGCCCTCAGACGACCAGCGGTCTTCTGAATAAGCTGACCGCCCATGTGCCTATAGATATTATTAACATATCTATATGAGGATATATATACATATATTTGACGATATATATACATATACATATAGATTATATAACTTGATATGTATATACCTATATTGTTCGTCTTTTTTTTTTTTCCCCTCTCTGCCTACCTACCCTTTCCGTCAGTTGGGCAGCCCCACGTTATCCTTTACTCACAGAAAGGGTAGGTAGGCAGGCAGAACCGGGGCCCCACGTTATCCTACCACCGTGGCAGCCAGAACCGGGGCCAAGTCCCACTAGCAGCGTTGAGCTACCTCAACGCTTGAAGCTGGACGCTTTTGAGGAGATGTGCAGAAATAGTGTTGAGTTTCCTGAACTGCACGTCTCCACAAACACGTCCAGATTCAGGCGTTGAGGTAGCTCAACGCTGCTAGTGGGGCTTGGCCCCCGACCTGCAGTTGGGCCATAGGCGGCCTAGGTCCCACTAGCAAAGAAAAGTTGATTGAGCACCTGAATGTAGACGTGTCCATGGAAAGATGCAGAAAATGGAGATTGAACTGCTTTTCTGCACATCTTATCAAAACACGTCCAGATTCAGGAGCTTAATCCAATCCTCTTTGCCAGTGGGACCTCTCCCCCGGCTAGCATCGGGGACCACCAGGGCAACAGGACCAACCCCTGTTCCTCCCCTCAGGAGCATGGTCCCACTAGCAACGGTGATTGGATGAAGATCCTGAATCTGGGCATGTTTTAGGCAGAGATGCAGAAGGAGTTCAATCTCTATTTTCTGCACTTGTCCATAAAAGCGGCCAAATTCAGGCTTTCAATCCAATCCTCTTTGCTAGTGGGACCTTCCCTCAGGTCCCCTCCCCTACTGTTTTCCCCTCAGGAGCATGGTCCCACTACCGTCTTCACCCGAATAGAACGCCCGGTCATTATAGCCGTATTTGGTCGAAGTTTAAGTCTAGATGTAGTGATAATGACCGGGCGTTCTATTCGGGTGAAGACGGTAGCAATGGGGATTGGATTATTATTATTATTATTATTATTATTATTTTTTTTTTTTTTTTTTTTTTTTTTTTTTTTTTTTTTTTTTTTTTTTTTTTTTTTTTTTTTTTTTTTTTTTTTTTTTTTTTAAGAAAAACACCCTGAGTTGGTGCTAGGGTAGCTGATAAGAGCAGACTACCCTAACATTCTCTTGGAAGCTCCATCTATTCGTGGGGAGCAGCAAGATCCTGAATCTGGGCATGTTTTAGGCAGAGATGCAGAAAAGGAGTTAAATCTCGATTTTCTGCACTTGTCCACAAAGGCGGCCAAATTCAGGCTTTCAATCCAATCCTCTTTGCTAGTGGGACCTCCCCTCAGGTCCCCTCCCCTACTGTTTTCGCCTCAGGAGCATGGTCCCACTAGCAATGGGGATTGGATTAAGATCCCCAATCTGGGAATGTTTTAGGCAGAGATGCAGAAACGGAGTTAAATCTCGATTTTCTGCACTTGTCCTCAATTAATAATAAGAAAACAGCAAGATAAGATTAACACATCATTGATTCTAATAGAAAATAGACAAGAATCTTTTTTTTTTTTTAATCTATTTCTATACCATAGACAATATGATTTTAGAAAAACAAGAAAAATCATTCTCAAATAATCAAATCGCAGCCAAATTAACTTAATTAAGGCTTTTAATCCAATCCTCTTTGCTAGTAGGACCTCCCCTCAGGTCCCCTCCCCTACTGTTTTCCCCCAAATACAAGGTGCGGTGATTTTAGCTGAATTTAGACTGAAAGATACACCAAATTCAGCTATAATGACCGTACATTGTATTCCAGGGAAGAATGTAGGTGGCGGGCCCCAAGCATGCCCAGGAAGCCTGAGGAAGGTACATGAGGCCATTGGGGATTAAACCCAAGACCCCTCGTGAATGCCACTTGGGAACCTGACCAACTGAGTCAGGCTGCTAGATCACTCCTTTTTTTTTTTTTTTTTTTTTTTCTGGATCACTCCTTTACTTTGGTAGGAAAGTCACCTTATATTTTCAAAATCAAAGCAGGCCCGGGGGGCCAGGGGTCCCTTTTTAACAAAGAGGATTGGATTGAATGCCTGAATCTGGACGTCTTTGTGGAGTGGTGCAGAGAATCTTAGATTGAACTGCTTTTTTGCATCTCTGCACTTTGGGCCTCCCCACACCACTCTCTTTTTCTTTTCTTTTTTTCTTTTTTTTTTCTCAAATCCACGATTCACCACACTACTTTTTTTTTTTTTTTTTTTTTTTTTTTACCACACTACTTCACGTTGCCACGTCCCCATACTTCCTCTCGTGGCCACCAGAGCCCCTCTCCAGACTTGTGGCCATAGTGCTCGGCACTACTGTCTTCCCCCGAATACAAGGTAGGGTGATTATAGCTGAATTTAGACAGAAAGATGCACCAAATTCAGCTATAATGACCATACGTTGTATTCGGGGGAAGACTGTAGCACTGTGCGTTGCCCACGCGGAATGATGGTGATGAGGGGCTACAGTCTTCCCCCGAATACAACGAAGGGTCATTATATCTGTATTTGAGGCATCTTTCAGTCTAGATACAACTATAATGACCATTTGGGGGGAGAAGGTAGTACAGCCTTGCTCTCACACCACCCTCGTCGTGATGGAAACCTTCCGCCTGGGGCTAAGGGCCAGATCCCACTGGCAAGGAGGATTGGAATTAGTCTCTGAATCTGGACGTGTTTGTGGAAAGGTGCAAAAATTTGTGATAGATCTGCTTTTATGCATCTCTGTGGGGAACACGTCCAGATTCAGCCACTTATTTGATTCCTCTTTGCCGGTGGGATCTGGCCCTAAGTCTCTGTAGAAGCGTTGAGCAAACTCAGCGCCCGAATCTGGACGTGTTTTGACGCTGCTAGTGGGACTTGGCCCCTGGGATGGGGAGAGACCCAGGTTGGTTGGTGTTCCCCCGGCAATATACATAGAGTAGGGGGGAGGATGAGATAGATGAGGAAAAAATACCGAGAGATTGAG